TTGACATGCCTTCAAAAGGCAACTTATTATGGATGAGTTCCCACAACACGATAGCAAAGCTGTAGCAATCCACCTTATGATTATAATGCTTTTTCTCCCCATGCCTTAATGTAACCGTGCTATAAAGCTGTCAGCCAAACAAATAAGGGAAAGTCAGCATTCTAAGATGGAACATTACTTGCAATAACTTTCTTTGGAAAAAACAAAATTTGAAGTTGTTACCTCAGGAGCCATCCAACGATATGTCCCCGTTTCAGCTGTCATCATCTCTGTCAGAGACTCTTCTCTGGCTAAACCAAAATCTGCTAATTTTACTGTTTTATGGTCCGCAGTCAAGATCAAGTTCTCTGCAGAAAACAAATAATCAAAATTATGCTTAATTTTGCATCACAAAAGGAAAGGATAAACGTGATTACATAATTTACTTAGTTACTGGTATGCTTATATTTAATTCTAGCCAAGGGTTAACTCATCCACATGAATACTAGGAATGTCAAGCAAAAAAAGGAACCACTATGCTGATTGTTGTTTTACTTGGTCATCCAATGCATTCATGCGTGTCAATTTTATAAAACAAAATATACTAAGAAATCAAATTAGTTTCATCTAATCAAAGTGCTACTAAAAGAATCATAGACCATGACAAAAACCAGATCATCACCTCAGAAGCAGAATCAAACTAAACAAGTATCTACAACAATCTCATCTTCCAACCATGCTAGGCAGCATAAATGAGATCACTACAGAAGTCAGGAGAAAAGCTCCAAAAAGAAAGAATTTGCCAAAAAGTTGGAACTTTTAATGGTATTAGATCTCATTTGCCTAGAGGCCTGTGAGCTGACTTCCAACATCAGATCTCAAATGAGTCGAAAACCAACAATTCCAGAACTTCTGCCATACATCAAATTATGATTATTTGGAACCTGGAACTAACTAACATGTGTTTATACATATTTCACTGCAGACTTGGGCTTCCAGTCCAACAACATGTGTTTGTATATACTTACTTCACTGCATACTTGGACTTCCAGTCAAACAACTCTTAAATGGCATTCATTACCCTTTTCCTTTTCTGCATTGGGTTGGTGTGGTGGGGAGAATTGATTTATAGCAATCATACTGACATGAGCTTCTTGCATCTGCCCCTTCATACAGGACAGAATTAAATAGTAGCTACCGCAGAATTATTCTGGCTATGGTTACGGCCACTATTAAATTTGTTAAGGTCACCAGAAATTATAAAATTTTTATCTTAATTTAAGTGTTAAAAACAACTGATAACTGATAAAATACTTAATATTTATTATTTAATAAATTGAAATCAGTTTATAGACAGATATTTCCAAATATCATAACTACTTGTTTATGAAAAATATATATATATAAACTGATAAAATTACAGTTAAATGGGTGACCTTAACAAATTTAATGGTGGCAATAACCTCACCCAATTATTCCCCATCAAACAGTAAGTTCAACTCACTTATTAAGGGAAAAAGACTGTCAGACTTAAAAATACAGCATTGCCCTAGGAGGACAACTTTCTCCCATGATGCTTTTATGAAATTGAAATTGAATGATGAGCATGATTCATCAATGAAAAAATCATTCTAATGGAGGGCATACTTCTGAATCCTTTAAACATACAGAAAATACATACCAAAATATAAATCATAAACATGCTTGCTAAGTCATCATGTTTTCCGTTTCACCATTAAAAGTAAACTAGAGTCTGAAAAACTGCATCTAGACACTTAAGTGCTAACACAGAGTGCTACTCATTTGAACTCAAAAGTTCAATGTTATGATCATACCAGGCTTCAGGTCACGGTGAATGATCCCATGGGAGTGTAAGCATTCCATTGCACGAGCTATGTCAAGTGCAAATCCAATCGCCACACGCAAGTCCAACTGCCTTGGTCGCATATTCAGAAAGTATTTGCGCAAAGTCCCACCTAGTAAAAGCTCAGTTACTATCACCATCATAGGCTCCTTGCAAGCACCAATAAACTGGAAATACATGATAGGCCAATTAAAATCTGCCTCATTTCCTCTTCATTTTATTGATACATGAAAGCTCTTGATTCACAGCTCTTGACACCCAAAATAAAGATAGAAGGAAAGAGCATAAAATTCAAAAGCTAAATGTTATTGCTCATATGCTAAATAAACAACCTTCACTAAATTTTTATGCTGAACTCTAGATAACATTGCAACCTCTCTAGCAAACCGAGCTTCTCTCCGGGCAATTTCCTCCGGTGTTTCCCCTCTCCGAACAACTTTAATGGCAACGTTTTGATTTCTGTATCTAAATACACCCCCAAAAAAAAAAAAAAATCAGAATCAGAGAATTGGAACACATAAAGGCACCAAGCCATGGGCAACAAATTAAAATGGAAATGATACAATTAAGAATCCCTTCTATTAACAACTTTTAATTCATTAAACTAGAGTTACTAAAAAAAAAAAAAAAAAAAATCAGAGAATTGTAACACATAAAGGCACACCAAGCCATGGGCAACAAATTAAAATGGAAATGATACAATTAAGAATCCCTTCTATTAACAACTTTAATGGAAACGTTTTGATTTTTGTTATCCAATACAAGTATATAAGCAATCAGGCCACCAAGCATCCAACACTAATAGACTACGAATTCAAAGGAAAATTAGGGAAATTTTTTTGGCTGTAGAAAATGATAGAATTGAGAATCCCAAGATCAAGATCAGTCTTTTTCAATTGCGGAGGAAAAAAATCAAAATCCCCACAAACCAAAAAACTGAATTCAGTAAAGAATCAGAGATTAAATAATTAAAGCTAGAAAGTTGACTTACTTTCCTTCATATACTTTGGCATGAGCACCCTCTCCAATCCTTGGCCCTACAAAAAGCAGCCTAGGATCGACCAACCACTTAGCATCCAAATTGAACTCTTGAGCTGAGGAAAACCCATTCCCAGATCCCATCTTCGGCTCCTCCAAACCAAGAATTGAACTACCATCTATTCACTAAACCAAACCATACCATACCATATCCCTTTTCCTCATCAGAAACCTGAAGTATACTTGAAACCTCAAAACCACAGAAAACCACAATTAAAAAGACAAAATACCCATTCCAGAAATCGCGGTTGCAGTTGCAGATCCACAGCAATCAAGAAATGCCCTTTAAAAAGGAGGCAGAGAATAAAGCCTCAATTGTTTTCCAGAGGGAACTCACCAACAACCCCACCTCCAGGAATTAATACAAATGGGAATTAAAATAAAAGCAACACAGAGCACAAGGCAGTCCCAAAGGGAGCAACAAGCGCTGACATAGTGAAAACAAAAAGCTGATGAATTTGTATGAGAAAATGAGCAGAGTAAACAGTGTGTAGTGGATTAGATGAAGCAGGAATTAATGGAGGAGGGGAGAGGAGAGGTAAACGGTAGATGAGAAGTGGGGGCTGGGTTCAAAGATCAATAAATAAAGGCTTCTCCGCGTAATGTTGTGATTGATTGAAAGGAAAAAGCTTTCTCTCTCTTTCTTCTTTTGAGTTTTCTT